GGATAACAGTGTGGAGCACTCTTAAAAACTAAAAATGAGCCAGGCACGGTGGCATACACCTTTGATCCCAGCACTCGGGAAGCAGAGGCAGGTGGATCTCTATGAGTTCAAAGCCAGCCTGATCTACATAGTGAGTTCCAGGACAGCTGGAAGTACAGGGAGACCCTGTCTCAAAAAGACCAAAAAATAAAAATAAAAATAAAAATAAAAATGAACCTACCATATGACCCAGTTATACCACTCCTTGGCATATACCCAAAAGATTCATCCTATTGCAGGGACACTTGTACATCCATATTTGTTGCTGTTCTTTTCCCAATAGCTAAGAGATGGAAGCAACTTAAGTGTCCCTCAACTGATGAGTGGTTAATGAAAATGTGGTATGTTTACACAATGGAATTCTACTCAGCAGTAAAGAAAGATAAAATAATTAAATTTGCAGGTAAATGGATGGCTCTAGAAACTGTTATACTAAGTGAAGTAACCAGATTCAGACAAAAAAAATAAAAAAGACATGTTCTCCCTCATTTGTGGATCCTAGCACCAAATCCTTACAAGTGTGTATATATCCTGATAGAACTACAGGAATCAGGTAAAGGGAAAGAAGGAACCTGAGAAAGAAGACTAGCAGGAGACAGGTGTTACTAAGTAAAAAATGTATAAAAAGGGGGCAAATGGGAGAGGGAGGAGGGCTATACAAGGAACTATGGGAATAAAGGGGAAGGAGTTCAAGAGAAGTGGTACCATAGCAGGCAGAAATTTTCAAGGGAGAAATGGGGAAACCGGGGATGCTTTAAATTGGGAGGGCAGAGAAGGAAGATAAGACAGGGAGAGAAAGCAGAGATAAATAGTGCCTAGTTAGCATAAAAAAAACAGGGAAGCTAGGCATAGTGGTGCATGCCTTTAATCTAAAAAAAGAAAAGGACAGGACAAAGGGGAAAGATGGGATGGGACTAGAATGGACTGGACTGGACAGGGAGGGGAGGGGAGAGGAGGAAGGAGAAAAAAAAGGGAAAGGAAAGGGAAAAGAAAGACCCAGAGGGATTATTAGTCCATAAACTTACTGATAAGTTACACATACAATACCTCCACATGAGTCTGTGAGTATAACTGAAGTCTACATAACAAGAAACAGTGCCAGACAGCAGAAACCTTCCTTTGAGTTGTTGGCCAGGGTAGTCCAAGAGACTCCCAAAATTACACAGGCCATTGCCACAGTCCTTGATTCCCTCCCGGAACTTGATGGTAAGACCCTATTGCTGAAGACAGGACACTTTGGACACAGGATTTGAAACAACGGAGCTGGAACTAACCTGGAAGCCATCTCCCCTGAAGGCTAGCTCTCATTGCTTTGGAGAGCACAATGCAAGCTGCTAAGGGAGACCATCAATTAATGGTCCAACCCCAGCTTTGAGGCCTAAAAAAAACACATCAATGACCAGCACAGCAAACAACATTGGTGCACTTTTATCTTGGTGGGTAATCAAGAGCTACCTAATTGGATTTAAACTCATTGAAACTCATGTGTGGTACTATAAACCTAGCCAAATACACATAGCTGGAGAGGTCATAGATCTTAGAGAAAACTCCAAGGCTGTAATAAGCCTAGATAAATGTAATATAGATCCTTAAATCTATAGACAAGTATCTCAATTACCACCCATCAAAGAAGCTTCATTTTCAAGAGATAGAGTTCCACAACTGGTCACACAGAGATTCTCTGTGAATTGCCCAAGCCTTGAAGTGCCCAAGTGGCACATCTAGGATGAAACCTCTACACTTAAGGGTCAAGGAACATAGAACAAACAAGGGATGAAGAGACCACTAATGCATCTTTCAGTTTTCATCAATGAAGCTTCCTCATGCAAGAGAACCAGGAACACAAAAGGTCACAAATGGCAAAAACGCAGAGACTAAGAGTCTGCAGAACATGGGTCCTTGGACAGGACCCTATATTAAAACCCACTCACCCATCATTTCAGAAGATGGGGCAAAAAGATTTTAAGAGCCAGGGAGGAGGTGCATGACCATACAGAAACAGTCCTACAGGCTCCGGGGACTCTTCTCATACGAACCTGCAGCAATGGTGTCAGCATACCCAAGACTCATGCAAACTTAAGCAGACAAAAACCCAGCACAGAACCATGGAAATGAACAGCAGGCCCCAATCTTAGTAGGAGAATTTTTGGCAGCTGATTACTGCTGGGTGAGAATGAACTGATCTTCTTAAAGGGAGGAACTCTAGATAGACTGACTAGATCCCAGTGGATAAACTAGCACTGAGGGACATCTGGGGACACTAACTTGACATGATAGGCCTTAACACAAATGACAAAAGGTATAAACTCCGGTGGGGGCTATGGGAGGGTGCCAAAGGGGAAGGGGGTATAAAAATGATTTTCTGTATGAAATACACAAAAATTCAGTATTTTTTTTAATATTTTATTTTTAGTATTATTTTATGTGTACAAGTGTATTGCCTGCATGTATGTGAGTGCATCCATGTCGTGTAATGCCACAGAGGTCAGAAGAGGGCTTCAGATTCTCCTGGAACTGGAGTTAAGGATGGTTTGTAGCCACCATGTGGGTGCTGGAAACTGAACACAGGTCCTCTGCAAGAGCAGTCAATGCTCTTAACCACTGAGCCATCTCTCCAGCCCCCAATATATATTTTTTTAATGACAAAGTGCCAGGCATAGTGGTGCATGCCTTTAGTCCCAGCACTCAGGAGGAGAGACAGGCAGATCTCTGTGAGTCTGAGGCCAGCCTGGTCTACAATAGTTCAGGCCAGCTGGGGCTACAGGGAGACCATCTCAAAAAAAAAAAAAAAAAAAAAAAAGACAAAGCAAAAAATGTATATATAATTCACATTTTTTTACACAAACTAATGTTTTTATATGCTTTTTAAAATGTGTACGTGTGTTTTGCATGCATATATATAAGTGCATCTATGTGTGCAATGCCTGTGGAAGCCAAAAAGAGTGTTGGATCCCCTGGAACTGGAGTTAAGGACAGCTGTTAGCCACCATGTGGGTGCTGGGAACTGAGCTCAGGTCCTCTGAAAGAGCAGTCAGTGTTCTTAACCACTGCGCCATCTCTCCAGTTCCCTTATTTACTTATTTTTGAGACAAGGTTTTGCTGTATAGCCAAGTCTGACCTCAGATCCACAATCTTCTAGCCTCAGTCTCCAGAGTGCTTGGCATTACATGTGCCACTGAAGTCCAGCAATTTTAATATATGTTAAGGCTTCTATGTTTTTGTTGAGGTGTGTGTTCACTTTTTTTTTGGGGGGGGGGGAAGAGCACAGAGGGTCTCATGTAGCCCAGACTGTTCTCAAACTCACTATCTAGGTAAGGATGACCTTGAATTTCTGATCTTCCTATCTCCACCTCCCAGGTGCTGTGTGCCACCATACTTAGTCTGTGGGTGCTGGGGATCAAATCCAGGGTTTCAAGCATGCTAGGCAAGTACTCCACCAAATGAACTACATCCCGTAGCCTGAAGATTCTACTTCTACACTGTCATTCTAGCTCCAGATGAGGATACTCTAATATACCTGCCAGTAGCATCTCCAGAAGGTGGAGACCAAAGTCAAGAACCCTCTCAAAGCACTGAGCAAACAACAGTCACTGTCAACCTCATCCTAGATGGACTTTTCTACCTAACCACCACAAGCACTAGTTTCTACCAATCTTTTCATGGCCTCCTTACAAGGCCTCCTTGGAGGCAGGCCACCATGGAGTTTCTCTCTGCCTATCCCAGTGAGTAGGAAGGGCAGATCTAAGTTTGCTGTGTAAAGCTGATTCCACCCTACAGCCTGTGACTCTGTAATGCTCTTTAGTCCCCTGTACCCTACCAGGTAGCCCTTATCCTACCCATCTGGAGTCCACATGTCTAGTACCCACACCATCTAACACCTACCCTGTCCATCCTACCATGTGAGTCCATCCCAGTGTCCACATGTCTATGACAGTACCCACATGTCCACCAGCATGGTGTCTATGTGCCCAGGACCATTTTTCCCTCTGTGACAAAGAAATAGTTAAGACATTCTGAGCTTTTTCTGATATGGCCATAGATCTATTCTGAAAACCTTATTTCAGGTTTTCCCTTCCCAACCCAAATGAGGAAAAAGGGAAAGTCAGAGACGGGAAGTACATAGGTCAGGGCTTTGTCAATCTACCCCAGCCCTGAGAGCATCAGGAAGTGAAGAGAGAACCCAAGGACTGGGTGTGAAGACAGTGGTCCATGATATGGAACAGCAGGTATAGCTGCTTATACAAAGAAAGGGCAACAGCAAGGCATATTGGTGCTTTAACCCCAGCACCTGAGTGGCAGAGGCAAGTAGACCTCTGTGAGTTGAAAGCCACCCTGGTTTACATAGAGAGTGCAAGGCCAGCTGGGACTAGGGTGAGACCCTGTCTCGAAAGCAAAACAAAAGGAGAGCTGAGTCCCGCTCAAAGGCTAGAATTTTCCAGAAACCTGTCACTGTTTTCAGTTTTCTAGAGTAAACAGTACCACCCCTGGAGTCTCTAAAGGACTGTCTGTCTGCTGTGGGAACAGTAAAAAGGAAATCATTAGAGCCAGAGAATGCTCAGCCAGAAAGTCAAGCACCAATGCACCAGGGACAGGCATGAAACCCCACTGCCCTATGCCTGCCACTCCAAACTCCCAGCATCTGCAGCCACCTAACCAGTCCTGGGAGCCCTGGAGGCTTCCTAATCCCAAATGCCAGACAAGATGGCAAGAAAAGAAACCTAACAACTTAATACCTGCACTAAGGCTATACCAGGAGGCTGTGTCTGTTCTGGCACTGACTGAGGACTCTGTTTCAGTTGTGTGTCTATCCTAACACCAAAAGATGCTTTCCCCACACATTAAGATTCAAAAGTTTAGAGAGCTGGCCCAAGAGGCCCATCCATCACCACTTACAACACTTTAAATTCCAACCACTACCAACAGATACAAAGCACAAGTGACTACTCATGTTTCAAACCTACCTTCTTAGCAGCAGCCAACTTCCACCTCCGCTCCTGGGCGAAGTCTGTGGCCATCCACTGCATCTCCTCCAACAGATAGTCCCAATGAGATTTGGAGCGTGGGACTTCTTGCAGTTTTGGTAGCCGCCTTAGGGACCACAAGCCTTCCTTCCTTAAATCTGCTATCCGCTGATGAATCTGATTTTCCTATAAGGAACATGGTATCAGGGAGGCAAGGGTCAGCATGAAATTATTAAGTGTATTCTGCTAAACTCTACTGTGTCAAAGACTCAGTTAGGTACTAAAAGGAGAGCAACCTCAACCAAGGTCACAGTTTAAGATAAGCCTGCACAAAGATCAAATGGCTCTAGAAGAATCCAAAGGAAAGAGTCTGAGGCTCTGCCAGAAACTTCAAGGAAGCTGGGCAGTAGTCTTCCTCCAACTTTAAAGAACAGAATTAGCTGGGCATGGTGGTGCACGCCTTTAATCCCAGCACTTGGGAGGCAGAGGCAGGCGGATCTTTGTGAGTTCGAGGCCAGCCTGGTCTACATAGTGAGTTCCAGGACAGGTGGGGCTACAAGGACACCCTGTCTCAAAAAGACAAAAAAAAAAAAAGTGGCTGGGTTGTGGCTCAATGGCAATGCACCTACCTAGCATACCTAAGGCCCTGGGTTCAACCTTCCAACACTATCAAAAAAAGAAAAAGAAAAGTCAGAATAAAACCAAAAGATCCAGGACTAAAGAGATGGCTCAGTGGTTAAGAGCACTGGTTGCTCTTGCAGAGGATCTGAGTTTAGTTCACAGCACCCATATGGCAGCTAACTACCATCTGTAACTCCGGTTTCATGGAATCCAACTCCCTCTCCTGATCTCTGCAGGCATTGCACAACACAGGTGCACTTACATACGTGCAGGCAATACACTCATACACATAAAAACAATAAAATATATATATAAAAATCCAATGTTTACACAGAAGTATGAAAGTGTATACAAGAGAAACTATCATGCCTGGAATTTGCTTCAAAATTATTAGGAAGTACAAGAATCAATGAAGGCTGGCCAGGTACTAATCACTGTGCCAAAACCAGACAATGAGAAGCATCAAGTTTATGTCAACTTAGTATGATACATGCTTCTTTTAAATTCCCTGATGAAGTTGAACAAAACAGTCATCTAATGAGAGCTAAGTGCTGGACACTGCCTCTCAAGGATGAAGACTTCAGTCTGTCCCTACTGCCTGACCCCAACCTCCAGTCACAACAAGAAGGAAAGCAACCTACCATGGTCAATTCTACTATAAGACAATGACTCCCATGAGTCTGCTTCTAGCAAAGGAGGCTACATTACTTTAGTCTTGGTTTTCAATGATAATGAACCAAATGTTTAGTTTTAAACAACTACAACCTTAAAAAAGAAAACCAAGCCAGGCGTGATGGCACAAGTCTTTAATTTTAGCGCTCTAGAGGCAGACACAGGCAGATCTCTGTGAATTTGAGGATAGCCTGGTCTATAAGTTCCAGGACAACTGGGGTTCCATCTTGAGACCCTGCCTCAAAAATTAATGAATTAGTATGAAACATACATCACAAACCAGAATACAGGCTGTATTCAGGCTGCACGTGAAGATATGTGTCTGTTTATTTTAACTACTCTCTTGGCTGAGTTTGAAAGCAAGCTCTCTCAAACCCAGTAATTAGAGACCAACCTAGGACACATAGGGAGACCTCAAAACAAAACAAACCACACCAAGAATACACTTTGAATTTTCCTAGGCACACTTACCAGTGTTATTTGTTCTGCCAGTTTATCCTGAGAACTGTCCTGGGATGAGGCAGCATTCTGAGCAGGGCTCTGTGGCTTGGGGGTAGCTGACACTGCCACCCCTGGAGATCGAGAAGTGATGGGAGACAATGCCTTACTGGTGGTGGAAGAGGGTCTGTTCACTGGTGAAGATCGTGCAGGTGAGGGTCCCGGGCCTGAGCCACTCACAGGTACAAGGGATGAGGAAGAGGAGGTAGTGGGCAGAGACCGCTGGCAGGGCTGGGCAGAGTCCAAGGGGGGCCTGGTCGATGTCACTGTCTAGTGGGCAGAAGACAAGTGAAGCAGGGTCAGGACAAGGCTTCCCAAGGTCCAGAGTGCCCAAATGCCAGAGAGCTCAGCCAGTGCCTTCTTTCTCCATGGCAACACAAGCACACAAAATAAATCCCATTACAAACCACAACTCAAAACCACAAACTAGATGATGTACAAAGATCAAATGATTTTTCTACAAAGAATGTAACAAAAGCTTCCTGCACCTTTACATATTGTCTCAGAGCTCTTAGAAACTTTCTTCTTTCTTTCTTTCCCCAGTTTTTTCTCCTACTTTTAAAATGTGATCTTTTTGTTTGTTTAGCTTTTTGCTTCTTTTAGCTTTTGATTTTGTAGCCTAAGCAGACCTTGAATGCTCCATGCTTCTTCCCTTAGTCTTCTGAGGGCTGGGATTACAAGCATGTGCCACCGTGTCTGGCTTTTTTGAAAGGTTCCCCCCTTTGTATTTTTTGGCAATCTTTAATGTTTCAATTGTGTGGAACTGAAACGTGTATTTAAAGGCAAACAAAAACAGACAGCTATTTAAGCCTTAAGTTACAAGAAAAGGAAGCTGGATAAAAATCACAGGACTGGGGCTGGATAGATGGCTCAGCGGTTAAGAACACTGGTTGTTCTTGCAGAAGGCCCAGGTTTGAATGCCAGCACCCACATGACAGCTAACAACTGTCTGTAACTCCAGTCCCAGAGGATCCGACAGCCTCTTCTGACCTCCGTGGGCACTGCACAACACGGGTGCACTTACCTATATGCAGGCAATACATGCATACACATAAAATTTTAAAAAATTTAAAAAAAAAGAGAAATACAGGACTGAGTACTATCATCTACCTCTCTCTGCTTGCTGATTGCATCTGCAATGTGACCACCCATTTCATGTCCCTGTTGCCATGCCTTCCCCACCAAAATAGACTGTAGCCTAAAACCATGCCAGAGGGATCCCTTTGTCCCTTAAAAAATTTTTTTAAAAAAGCAGGACTGTTCTGTTTTAACTGTGGAGAAATGAACAATGCAATGCTAAACTAGATTCTTTTTTTATTATATTTCCATGTGACATCACTCAAATATCAAGTATCAGTTGAGCTTGTTGTTTATGTGTGTCTTCTATTTTTTCTGAGACAAAACTCAGTACTGCAGCCCAGGCTGGCCTTGATCTTCCTGCCTTGGCCTCTCCAGTGCCGGTATTAGAGACCCAAGCCACCAATCCCCACCTTGGCATCTTGCATCTTTTTACCAGTTCCACATGTATCTCTTGTGGCATGAAGACAAGAAGGGTAGGTAGGAAACCCTCCTGTAATGTCCAGAAGCCAAGTTCACAAAAATAAAGCGGCCTCTGTAAGTCTGAGTGAAGTTCTCCCAAGAGCCCCAGGGAGGAGGCCACCTAGATAGAGAGGAGATGGACTGGCAGGAATACCAGTCAGGACCATCAGGGCAGGGAAGACTCAAGAGACACATCTCAAGACCTAACAATGACCCCATGGCAAGTGCCTACACTAATCTCTCTACCTCAGAGGCCCAGAAACCATACCATATTTATTTAGAAATAAAGCTTTACAGGAATGTAGCCACTCAGAATTTGTCTACACCTTTGTCTTCAGCAACAGAGTTGAGTGACTAGCAGAAACAGAATGGCCTGCAAAGCCAAAAAATTTACCCCTGGCTCTTTACAGAAAATTGGGGCTAATCCCATCCTACCATAAGACAAGAGTCTCTCCCACCCTCCCATGGCACTGGGGATTGATCCTAGGGGCCTCATACATGCTAGGTAAACACTCTCCCAGCTCTCCTTTTACCTTTGAGATAAGCTCTCACTAAGCTGCCCAGGATGGCCTTGAACTTGTAATCCTCCTGCCTCAACCTCCCAACTAGCTAAGATTGTAGACCTGTGCTACCAGGTCCAACTAAGTAATGGGATTTAATAGCTTTTGAACAGTTTCTTAGACATCATTTGCCACAGCCAATCCCTTCAACAACAAAAGCAGGAAAACTAATGTAAGAAAAAAACACAGCACTGCTCAGTCAGTATGACTCTGGGAGAAAAAGAATCTCTCTCTCATGAAAATTTGAACAAAGACACAGGGTGAATTTAGTGGCCCTGGGGGAAGCACCCTCCTCCCCTAACTGACTATGTAGGATGCATCCATGGGGACCTGCCTCAAAGCTCTGGAATGACCTAGGATAGCTACCCATAGCCCCACCACTTAGTGGATAAAGGCATGCCAAGTTATTTAGCCTTCTGGCCTGAGCTTCTCATAAAATGGGGATAGCAGATTTTACTTTATAGGGTTGCTAGGTATAGAAACTAAACTAATGCCAATGAAGTCTTTATTATAGCATCTGCTGGCTCTCCTTGAAGGTACCACAAACATGGTAGTTATCACTGATTGTTCTCATTTTAAGCCTTTGCTGTGAATCCTTAACTGGAACTCAAAGCTCTTTTGGGTAGATCCTTATTAATATGAAGGAGGGGAGAGGAAAAGGAAACTTTCTTAAGCAGGGCTCAATATTGGCTGACTTAAGAATCACAATAATTCTTGGACCCTCTCCCACTCCCTCTTGTACTATAGAGGTAGTTTGTTCAAGCTGCAGAATCTCACTCGCCCCCAGGAACTGCAGCTAGTTCATTACAAACACTCCCAAGCCCACATGGCTATTAAATCAATGGAGAAGAAGAGGCATCCTCAACACCCCAATAGTGCTGTCCATGCTTGTGGAGTCTATGGTAGAAAAAAAAAGGGAAGTCAAGGAAGAAGTCTACCAAATACTTAGGCACAGGGCTTTGCCCTTGGACAAAGTCAAGGTCAACTCTGGATTGTCATTTCATCCATGTCATCTGGAGCCAGTCCCACAACCCCAAGGCTGGTAAAATTGGTTACCATCTGAGGGTTTCCAGAAGACCAAATGGGGTGATAAACACAATGCCTTCTGCACAGTTTGTGATTCAGGAGGTGGAGACTCCCTCTACTAAGAGCAACAATAATAATGGTTTTCTATCATTTTAATGATTATTATTACAGAGCCAAATAGAATTTGTTTACAGCTTCTACAATAACCAACTGTCCTAAGAGGGCAAGCAAAGTTGCTCCAAGGAATGTACAGGTTCAGTGCGGAACACCCTATCAAATACCTAGACAGCAAGCCACCTTTGCAGGCTGTTTCCTCTTTTCTTCTGCACCTCACTAGTAAAAGAGCCAATGTCCACAGAGTACCTGGGTCTGGGAGGAAAGCTGAGAGGCCTGCATCTGTGCCTTCCCGGGCATCGGAACATGGAGGGCCGGCTGGGCGGGCTGTGGAGGAGGAGCAGGGAGCTGGCTGGGCAAAGGGGTAGGAATAGGGGCATTCAACTGTTGAGTCTTCACTGGGATTTGGAGCTGAGCTGGAGTCTCCACCACCTGTGGCTGCTGTGGAAACTGCAGAGTGGAAGGAAGGGCTGTGGCAGGGACACTGGCTGGGGGCAGCCTCGCAGGCAGCTGTGGTGGCGGGGTATGCAAGCTGGCGGCATTCTGCACAGGAGGCCCTGTAGAAGGGTCATAATGCTGCTGGCTCTGCCTCTGTCCGGTGAGCTGTGTGGCCTGAGGAATGGGGGGCATCCCTCCTGCAAAATAAGAAAGAGCCCAAAGCACTGACTTCAGAGCATGCAGCTTCCCAAGTGAGTCACAAGGACGTGCACTGAACATCCTGGGGCTCACATGAGAACTGCCACACTCAAATGGGAGTTAGTGTCCTAGCAGATCTAATGTCAGGATAAGCACACAAAGAAGGAAGGAAGGAAGGAACCCAACCATTGCCAAGTTAGCACCAAGCAAACCAAGCATCAAATAACCACAGAGCACCCGACAGCAGCAGCAATTAAGAACACAGGAATAAAATCACTGGAAAGCATAAGGAGATATATGGCTCCCACTGGAGTGACAAGAACCTGTCTCCAGGGGCTTTCTCATCCTGAACTGACTGGGGCTCAGAGACATGTCCCCACGTGGGAAACTCCACGTCCAGTATACTGTCTTGACTGCACAACCTCAGGCTGCGCTGGGCTCCAGGTTTCGTGCATTCCCTCGTTACAAGCTAAGAGTGCTGCTCTAACGCTGGGTCTTACCTTGGACTGTCGGCATTAACTGCTGCAGAGGGACTCCTGCATTCACCCCTGGATGCTGGAAAACTACCCCTGGATGACCCACTTCAAGTCGAGGTCTCTTAGACTGCTCTAGAATAATTTTCAAGAAAGGTGCCGTTTCATGTAAAAATAAAACCACAGAAGTAGTAGGGGGAAAAAAAACATCAATAAATGTTTTTATAATCTTTGAAAAGGGAAGCCTTTCTATGCCATAAGGGATAAGGTTGATAAATATAGTTTCTTTTCATTAAAATTTTGCAAGTACAAGAAAGAGCATCATAAAAGGTCAAAGAACAAGCAACAACTGAGAGACAGTGCAACATGTGACCAATAGAGGTTCATTTATTCATTCTGAAAGCACTCAGCAATAATACGAAAGGTCTCAACAGCCAGGACACATTGGGCAGAGAACATGAATAGCGAGCCAAGGATAGATTTACAAATGGTTAACAAAAAATAGATGCTCCTTTGCAACCTTACTCAAAATCAAACCAGAGCATGTAATCTTACTCTTAGATCATCAAAGATCAAAATATATCAAAATAAGTAAAATGGACAAAATCTCTAAGAACCAGAAATTGTGGATGATGGTGGAAGTCACAGGCACACCTTTTGGAGGGCAATTTAGCAGCAGCACCACCTTACCCCACTTGGACCTGGCAGTGGGGTGTTCACTGCCAGATACGTCAAAGAACATTTCAGACTAGATGTCCAAGTCTCTGCTGATTACAACAGAAAAAAGGTAGCAATAACCAGGGAAGACTAGTAAAGACTGATTGACATTGACAAAGGTCAATCATTCAGGCTAAGAGTAGTGGCACACACCTGTAAACACCTTATTAGAGAGACAAAGGCAAAAGGATCACTTCAAGTTCAAGGTCAGTCTGAGCTACATTGAGGGTTCCAGGCTAGCCAGGTCTCACAATCAGACTCTATCTCAAAAAAAAAAAAAAAAAAAAAAACCATCAGCCACACGATGGAACATCATGCGGACACCTGAAGACTCAGATTCAGGTGCACTGGCTACCAAGGGGGCTTATTAAGGACATTTTTTTTTGGGGGGGGGGGTCTTTTTGAGACAGTGTCTCCCTGTAGCCCCAGCTGTCCTGGATTCACCATGGAGACCAGGCTGGCCTCGAACTCACAGAGATGCGCCTGTCTCTGCCTCCCAAGTGCTGGGATTAAAGGTGTGCGCCACCACACCCAGCCAAGGACATTATTTTTAAAAAGTAACTCTGTGTGTGTGTGTGTGTTTATATTTGAATTATTTTCAGAATAACCCCTATGCAAGCAAAATTTAAATATGGATAGAAGACTGCAAATAATTGAAAAATATTGAGTGGTTCCTATTGTAGCTGGAGAAGCAGCAGAGGCAGCCACATGTCACCTTCTCAACTACTTGAGACTTTCACATTAAAATGTGTCCTTACATTTGTATTTGAAGAAAAAAATCCAATTTAAAAACTCACTTCCAAAGGTGGATGGTGTTAGCATTAAGTCATACCACAGTGGCTATTCTACAGAAATCAAATGGAATGTAGAGAACCAACTGAAAAGTTTCCAACTCTAGTACAAATAAACGCTTAAATATTTTAACTGATAACCAAAAGAAAAGTTAACTTTGAAAATAGAAACTAAGGTTTTTAGGAACATGAGGCAATTAAACTGTTACCACCATGTTGTCCTGTGCTGGACATACCTGTGGGTGGCATCACCTGCTGCCTCTTAAATGGGTCGCCCTCTGTGGCACTGCTGGCCCCTGCCACCAGGCTCCCTGCCAGAGTTTGGTGCTGGAAAAAAATGAAAAACAATGCAATTCTTATTATAGCCATCTCAGGAATGATGTAAACTAAAACTACCATAACTATCACAAACACTGACTTCATTCTTTTTTAAGAAAACTGCTATCTACCCAATGCCTTTAAAACACACACATACATATATATTTATGTATCAGAAATACTGGAAGGTTCTAACTTACCTCTGGAGGTTTAAAAAAAAAAAAAAAAGACATGGTTTTAAATGAAATTTCAAATCATCACCACTATCTTTGGAAACTAGCTTTGGGTATGGAATGACAACAAAAGGACTGAACTGTGAAACTTCATTTTCAGTTCTGAGGCTATAGTTTGGCTGACCTAAAGTCACACTACCTGGCCCAATTTCACACTGAAAAACTCAGTCATGAAAACCCCAATTAATAACTATTTATTCTGGAACATCAAATTTTTTTTAGTTACTATTCTACTTCGTATATATACAAGTGAAATGTTATTTAAACAAGATTTAAATAAAACAGAAAAAGCCAATCTGATCACACTACATGATTCCAACTACCTATGTCTGACATTCTGGAAAAGGCAGAGTCATGAGAATAGAGAACAGTGGTTACAAGGGATTGGAGGAAGGGAAGGAAGGAGGGATGGTCAGAACACAGGGTATCTTACACAATCATCATGGAAGTCTATCTGTCTAAACCTGCAGACAGTGCAGCACCAAAAGAGACTCCCCGCCTTCCCCCAAGTATACATTATGCACTCTGGGTGACAATGACTGGCATGTCCCACATAAACTCAGTTAAACAAGTAACCCCCTTTATGAGCAGTATTAATAGGGGATAAGGCTGTGCATGTGGAGGGCAGGGAAAGGGGATTTGGGGAATCTCAGTTCTATAAACCTAAAACTGCAAAAACAAAAACAAATTAAAAAAAAAAAAAAAAAAAACCTTTTAGTCAAGTATGGTACTCATGCCTATAATCCCAATCTCTGAGTTCAAGGCCAGCTACATAGTGAAACCCTCCCCCAAAAAACAAAACAAAACAAAAAAATTGGTCTGAAAAACTACTGAAAGTGACACTAACCCAAGTCTTGGTCAACACAGATTCAAGCCCAATTGTCCTTCATGAGCACAATCCCTGCCATCTCAGCCAATCTAAGAGTAATACTGTCCAGCTACCACTGGCTGTGAAAGACTCAGTTCTGCCCAATCTCCTCAGTGGGGCATCTTAAATGTTAAAATTATAGGTGCTAATCAATGTGTTGGGGGTGGGGGGAATGGTTTAAACTGACTGCCCTGAAGCCTAAAAAGAAACAGACACAGCCCCTGCCAGCCACATCACAGAGTACAAATTCACAAGTAACATGCAGCACAGTCAGCATGTAGGCACCATGTTCATATTTAACAAAGATGAGAGGAAGAAAGAAGAGAGCAGAGGGCAGAAGGGTAGACAAAGAGGGAGTAGATAAGGGCCAGCAGTGGTGGTGCACGCCTTTAATCCCAGCACTCGGGAGGCAGAGGCAGGTGGATCTTTGTGAGATGGAGACCAAGCCTGGGCTACAGGGAGACTGTCTCAAAAAGACTAAAAAAAAAAAGAGGGAGTAAAGGAAATCAAAACATGCTACCAGTGGTTATCTCTGTGAGCAGAATAGGTAACAATTTGTATGTATGCACTTTTCTCAGTTTTCCAAATGCTTTGAAATGTGTATTGGTCATGTAACTAAGACAGCTATTCTCTTTAAATAAAATTTTATTTATCAGGGCTTGGAGAGATGGCTCAGTGGTTAAGAACAACTGCAGAAGACCTGGGTTCGAATCCCAGTACCCACATGGCAGCTAACAACTGTCCGTAACTCCTGTCCCAGGGGATCCGACAACCTCTTCTGCCCTGTCTTGTATTACACGACACAGGTGCACTTACCTACATGCAGGTAATACACGCATACACATAAATTTTTTTTTAAAAATTAAATTTAATTTAAAAAAAGTTGCCGGGCATGGTGGTGCACGCCTTTAATCCCAGCACTTGGGAGGCAGAGGCAAGGGGATCTCTGTGAATTCAAGGCCAGCCTGGTCTACATAGTGAGTTCCAGGACAGCTGGAGCTACAGGGAAACCCTGTCTCAAAAAGACCAAAGGAAAAAAAAAGTTTTAAAATTTTTTTATTTATCTTCTATTTTATGTGCATGAGTGGTATGCCTGCATGTATGTAAATGCACCTGTGTGGTACAATTCCCACAGAGGAGAGAAGAGGGTGTCAGGTCCCCTGAAACTGGAGTTACAGATTGTTGTTAGATGCCATGTGGGTGATATGAACCTAGATCTTCTGCAAGAGTAGCCAGTGCTCTCAATCACTGAGTCATCTCTCCAGCCCCAAGACAGCTATTCTTTAATGAAAAGAATGATAAAGGATCTTGCATCTAATAATGACCAAGTTATTTCCTATCAGATGAAACATATTTCAACTAATCATGAACTCTAGGTTAAACATGAGAACCGTTAAGGAGGCAGCAGGTGATATAGGAAGGGAACCAAGTCTAGAAAGGTTCCCAAAGTTAATGTGGTGTGAAGGCAATCCCAAGCTACACTCTGTGGAAGGATGATAGGGAAAACCTAGACTGTTGGAGAGAGAAAGCGTCTCAATCACATGCAGACATACATACAGGCAGCACACAAAGGCCAAGAAAACAAACTGACAGGATAGGTGCCACCTGCCGCAGAGAAGATCAAATACACAACTACAATTGGTACCCAGGCATGGTGGCCCACACTAGTAATCTCAGCACTTGGGAGGCTAAGACAGGAGGATTCGAAGTTCAAGGCCAGCCTGGGCTACATACAGAATCCCAATCTTTGAAAAAAAAAAAAACTTAGATGCTAGATGTGGCAGCACAGGCCTTTAATCCCGGCATTCAGGAGGCAGCGACACAGGCAGGTGGATCTCTGTGAGATCAAGGCCAGTGTCCTTTACATAGTGAATTTCAGGCCAGCTGGTGGGGGCGGGGGGCGTGTAGAAAGTTTGGGACTAGAGAGATGGTTCAGCAGTTAAGAGCACTGGCTGCTCTTGCAGAAGGACCTTGGTTGGGTGCACTTACATACATGCAGGCAAAACACACATACACATAAATTTTTTTTAAAAGTTCAAGCCAGGTGCGGTGGCGCATGCCTTTAATCCCAGCACTCGGGAGGCAGAGGCAGGTGGATATCTGAATTCAAGGCCAGCCTGGTCTACATAGTGAGTTCCAGGACAGCTGGGGCTACAGGAAGACCCTGTCTCAAAAACACCAGAAAAAAAAAAAAAAGGTTATCTAGGGGCTGTCAAGATGGCTCAGCAGATAAAGGCACTTGCTGACAAGTCTTACAATTTGAGCTTGGTCCTTGGAACTCACATAGTGGTGGAAGGAGAACCAACTCCCACAAGTTATCCTCTGGCCTCCATACATGCTCCATGGCATGTACACACACATTAGATAAATGAAAAAAATTAAGTTAACTAGGCTTTTTAAAGCAAAACAATGAATCCTCTTCAGAAGAATATAACAGAACCCAGGGTTTCTACACATCATCCAAAATTCCCTAAAATCCGTAAGATAATACAAAAAACAATGGCTGAGCTAGGGTCCCAGAGCCAGGCATAAATATTTTCCCTAACATTACATCTGTGCCAAACAATCACAATGGGGCTGCTCTCAGTCAACAGTTCATGGAAGCTCCTCCTTAGCAGCTCCAGGAAACAGCAGAGCTACAAAGAATTCCAAATCTGTAGTCTGCTTAGCACAGAAATTGGTTGCAAACAACAGTTTATTCTGAAACTCATTTTAGGATTTTTTTTAATTTTAAAAATTTTTTATCATTTTTATTATTTTATGCGTATGAGTATATTGCCTGCATGTATGTAAGTGCACCCATGTTGTACAATGCCCGTAGAGGTCAGAAGACAGCATCGGATTCCCTGGAAGTGGAGTTATGGACAGCTGTTAGCCACCAGGTGGGTGCTGGAAATCAAACCTGGGTCCTCTGCAAGAGCAGTCAGTGTTCTCAACCACTGAGCCATCTCTTTAGCTCCTCGTTTTAGAATTCTTAGCATAGCTGTCAGAACAACATATATGTAAATAGGAAAGTGAGCATACAGATATATCCATCAACATTCTTGGCTAAACATGCTGTAAATATATGCATGGCATACCCACAAGCTAACCCTCTCCTGCCTCACAAATGCTGCCCCTAAGAGCTCTTCCATAGAGGGAACCAACAGCCCAAACCTGAACACCAGCTGAATGGACTGCAGCTCTCAAACGGATGAGTATGAGGAGCTTTTCAATAATTATTAACAGTGAGAAAAACATAAAGAAACAAGCCAGGTGTGGTAGTATACATCTGGAATCCCAGCACTTGGGAGGCAGAAACAAAGGGACTGCTACAAGTTCAAGGTCAACTGTCTTCTGCCCACAGCTCACAAAAGTGAAATGCATTAAAAAAAAAAAAATGTATAACTCTACCGGGCATACCTTTAATCCCAGCACTCAGGATGCTGAGATAGGTGGATCTCTGTCAGACTGAGGTCAGTCTGGTCTACATAGTGAGTTTCCAGTCAGCTGGGGCTACAGGGAAGCCCTGTCTCAAAAAAAAATCTGTAACTCAACAAGAAGGTGCCTGGGGTACTATGATATATGCATACAAAAAATTATGAAACGTGTACGTGATTTTAATCAATCAGTAAACACCTGAGTATGACACCATGAATAATCCATTCCAATTTTCTGTATATTTGAAATTTTTCACAATACACTATTGAGAAGGAAAGTAGAGAAAGTCATGGTATACCATTTGAAAGACCAGTAACAGGATGATGGCACAATGGATCAAAGCGCACAAACTGGACAACCTGAGGTTGATCCCCAGAATCCATATAAAAAGCCAGATGTGGTGGCTGTACATCCATAATCCCAGCACTCCTACAGAAAGATGGGAGGTGGAGATAGGAGAGAACTGGCTCCCAAAAATTGTCCTCTGA